TGATGTGCTTTCCCCAAGCCCTGGTGTCTTTGAAGCCCTGCTGTATCTGGTAGCACTCCCATGTCACTGGTGATGTACACAGCAACTGCCTTTGACACAAAAATTGCTTCACTCTGCATGAAACTGCAGTAAAACATGACACCTGAAAGTACTGTGGTCTGTGCAAATAGAGGGCTAATGGAAAAATGTTGCAGTAAAGCTAGTCTGCAACTGAACAAGATAAATCTGGCCATAACAAATCCAATTCAGGTGACCTAGCTCATTCTAGAAAAGAGTAACAGAGACCTCAGCCAACCTTGTTCAAACTTAAATGCAGATACACCACTGGCAAGAGAGCTGGACGGAGAGAGGTCCCATCAAATCAGCCATGTGGGCCTGGGAGATTCAAAGCCCCATTAAAAGGGCAGCCATAATAAACTCATTGCTGTTTGCTGCTGATGATTGTGTGTGTTGGTTCTGTCTCCAATCCATAACCCCATGTAATAGAAAAGCATTCCCAAAACAAAGGCACAAGGTGGACAGAAGTTCATGGCTTCGTCTCAACAGGAAGAGGAACGATAATGGCTTTTGCTTCTATATGGCAATACATGATGGCAGTGTACAGAAAAAGGGTTAAGAGGAGCAGGCTGGATTTGCCAGGCTGGTTTTGCCAGGCTGGAAATGTGGGCAGGGCATATGGGTGAAATGTCCTCCTGGTATTTTCTGTGAAAGTCTCCTTGCTCCAACTCTCACCTCTAAAGAGAATGACTTCAGGGAAATGCTTGATTAACAGCTGCTGATGTTTCCACTGCCACCTTTCTGTTCTGGGATGGAAGGCTCAGGTGTTTCTGGATAAGACTGCAGAGTTTTCAGAAATTTAGTCTACTTAAAGGACAGAAGAGACACTGAAAAGACGCAGGCTTGAAAAGAACCCTTGATGTATCTGGCCCTTTGGAAAGAAATAACTTGTAGGAAGAGGAGTCAGTAAACCTGTATTGAAACAAACCCAGCATTTGGTACCAGAACAGTGCTATCAGGCACTTCTTTCATCTTTTCAAGTTAAAATTTGTCTGCAGTGACCAACAATGAATATGCTGAAATACATAACAGGAGAAGTCTACAGTGAGCCACTGTTGGAGACAGGTGCAAGGTGAGTCACCAAAAGTCTGGTCAAAGCCTTTAATGGAAAGGCCAGCTTACAGGTAAAAGACAGACATTAATTTTTTTTTTTTTAATTATATGTGAAACCTGAAAAAATGAACCTACATTTTAACCTACAAAGAAAATAATTAAAATCTTACTAAAAGATGCAAAAAATATCATTTAAGTATACAATTATAGTCTAATAGCTCCACTGTATTTTGCATATTAGGGAACAATTGTTTCTTAAAGCTCATAGCAGAATCATTTACTTGATGCTGGAGAATAAGTTAATTATGGATTTTCTGCCTTTGATTAATGGATTTAATAATCATGTTACAGTAGGATTAACTTATAGTTCATGTGCTTACAGCACTAATGATGAGATGAAAGCAGTGTCAGCGCATTGGACTGGCCCCAGAAAAGGCCCCGTCTGGAGATCCCAGGACTGCCCCAGTCAGCACTTCCGGGAGGAACCAGCAACATGGCATCAGTCATCCCCATTTGCCACTTATTTCAACAAAATTAAATACTGCTCTCAAGTGAACTAAGCACCTTGACTTAGCTCAGTTCTGGATACTGTGGAGGGAAAAGTTTTCCTAGGGGATGGGTACAATAGTAGGTAATGCACATAGCCACTGGCAACCTGTAGACTGCTGTGACCCAGTATAACAGGCTGAACATTCTTTAGTGCTTTTGGGCACATAATACAAGTATAAAATTCCTTGGATAGAAACACACTGAGTCAGCTAAGATTTCCTACTTCTAAGGAACCTCAAGTATAGGTAATTAGTCTAGCCTAAGAGACAGAGAACTCTAGTTTCTAAAATTAACTCCAGATCCAGTTTAAGGAGAGGAGCCATTGCAGGACAGAGAAGGTAGAAGGAATACCTAGGAAGATTTTTGTATTTTGCTGTTCTTCCTTGCAGGACTCCTGTGCCTATGTAGGAACCAGGTCTGCAAGTCTGGCAGGAGCCAAATTGAGAAACCTACACTTACTTAAAATTCACATTGACACAAATGAAAACAGAATAAAGAGCCAAACTATATTTTGTCTGAAGGAGCAGTACCTCAAAAAATCACCAGCAACAAAATTTCAAATTGCATCAGCCACATACCTTACCTATTATGATACAAAGCTGTATCTATCATCACTGTGATACAAATCAGAAGCTGAGCGTAATACAGCCCTGGGCTACTTTGCTGTGTCCCCTCCCTGCCCATCACTCAACCTGTGTTTCCACAGGAAGGTGGCAGAACTCCATGCACTGATCATGCCATATGGAAATACAGGGAAAAGCTGGGAAATTGCTGCACAGCCAGCACAGCCCTTCCTGCTGAGATCAGGGCACATGAATGCTGCTCCACCTCTCTGTTCAGGACATGATTCTCCAAGGTGTCATTTCCCAGCTGATGACAGTCAGCTCCCCATCACTGCAGACTCCTGTCCTCACTGGGACTGTGAGCTTCCAGTGCCCTTGCCCTACAGGCAGCAGCTGGTGGCTGCTGGCTGAAAGCACAGGGCACAGTGCTGGTTGTCCTGCAGCTTCAGTGGTGACATTCATCCACTGCTGCTTGTGTTTCCTTCTGGGATATACTTAGGGTTTATTCAAGGTTTGTGCTGAAATTCAACACTTTTCCCTACCAAAGCAAGCTTTGGGGATTAGAGACATCCTGAAATAATGCATATTTTATTCCTGAAGCAGATGGCAGTATACCTTTAATGTGCCTCTTCAAACCCAGTTGTGCATCCTTCTTTCTCTCTCTCCCCCTCCTCTGCTCTGCCACATATCCATCCAGTGTGGGGAGCTCTCCTCAGCTTATCGTCACAGCTGGCTTGATAATGAAAGACATTCAGAGATTTATCAGGCCATTTCTCCATGTCATACCACAGTGCTTTAACCTCAATTTGTTCCAGGTGATCTCAGGAATCTGTGACCCAGTAACCCTCAGCTGCAGATCATCTGTCAGGTGGCAGCTGTTTAAATGAGACTGCAGACACTTCCAGTTCTTAATTCAGAGTCTGCACCTACCAAGAATTCAGATTACATGGGTCAGGTAAATGCTAAAAATGCTTTCTAGGATATCCATGATGGGTTTCCTCTGTTCCAGCTCACAGGAGGTACTTGCTTGCACTCACTGTTTTTCAGCCCTAAGATCCCAGGTTTCCTGAGAGATGCCAGACAAACCTCACCTTTACCAGGGGTGTTGCTGATCTGCAGCTCCTTCCTGCTTTGGCTCCACTTTGCACATATGGCTTCACCCCTATAAACATTCCTTTACCTCATATGAGCCTTAGGAAATCATATGGGTACTTGTCCCCTACAGCTGTACAGACAGATAATGAACTAGACTGTGATGACTAGATCCTATAATGAAAAACTAAATGTCCAACTAGGACTTGATAAAGAAATGTGAAATAAAACACATCAAACAAGACAAAATAATCAGTTTCCCATTAAATTGATGTTAATTTTTTCCTGACTCTCAATGTTAAAAGCATCAATTACACACATAATTTACTTTTTTACAGTCTGATTCAGAGTTCAAAGCAAAAACTTGCACATACAGGATATGAATTATTCCAGCGATCAGAGGAAAAAACGCAGTGCCCTGCAGGTGTCTCCGGGCTGGCTTTGAGAAGTGTTATCAGTGTAGGCTGGGGGAAATTGCATTCTGTGCTGTTCAGGAGAAGGAAGTGATTTTGAAGCAGTCTGCTGTTTAACTCAAAGGAAAAGGTAATCTCAAATGGTGCAGAAGGTATGGAAGCTGAATTTAAAAAAAAGCTGTGGAAATGTTTGGGATGAAAAGTAAATGTATGACCTCAAATGATTTGCCTTTGTGAATGCAGCCAGAGGATGCAAGGCTGGTACAACAAAATGCATTCTTCACTGAGCTTATGCAAGAGTTACACATCATCAACAAAACAAAACAAAAAACCAAAAACAAAAAACAAACAAACAAAAACAAAAAAAAAAGGAGGAAAAGCTGCTTGTGGAAGATTTTAAGAAAAGTAGGCACAAACATGACTTCTCATTTATTTCAGCTTATTAGCAGTGTCCTAATTTTATGTGTTTATCTTCAAACTGTGATGCACGTAGGATTATTTTAAGCTAACACCCAGAGGCATTTCCTTTGTAGGTAGTGGTGATCCTTGACCCATGGCATTGAGCCATGCTTGCAGGGCTGCAGGTCCATGATGCTTCACTTCCACCCCCAGAGCCAGGAAGATGAATTGCTGGTGAGCTGCATGCAGTTTGAACAATGGTAACAGCAGCCTGTGGGCTACAAAATCTCAGCAGCAGGGCAAAGGAAGGGAGATTTCTGCCAGGAGATAGAGTGCATGTCTAAATCCTGAAATGGATAAAGAACAATGCAACACCTGGTGAGAAACAACCCTGAAAAGCCATGTGTCTGAACTGGCAGCCATATACACACAGAAAAAGCATGGAAAGAAATCCAAGCTACCTCTTTCATCTTCCTTCATAACCTGCAGTGTAAGCACATTTTAAGAAACTAAGGCAAAGAAGTGCTTTGAAAAGATGAGCACAGCATCTAATACTTCAGCAGAATCTCCTTCTGAAACTGTGGCAGTTTGCTCATGTTTGCCTGTGCTCTAAAGCTTTGCACATTATTCTTAAACATGGACCACATCATTTTGTGTTGCAAAGCACAGATACCCATAAACACTGAACAGAAAATATATGGAGAGATAAACAATGGGTCCTTTAATGATTACAGGCATCTTTCATAAACCTGAGAATTTAAAGTCAATTCCAGCTGTCTTGGATTGCCACTTGCCTGTAAATAAAGTGTTAATTCAGAGCCCCTAGCTGTGTTCAGGAATGGATCACATTTGGTGTTGCATCAAGCTCTCATCTCTAGAGTACTGGCTAAGCCCCAGGGCACTGTGTTTTTGGGTGCTACTTTGTACACATATTTATCTTTTTGTGTACATCTATTTTGCCTGATGTAGGGGAGGGCCACTCATAGCAGTGACTTTTTTCATTTTACACTCCTTTTCCCTGTTCCCCTTTCCACAATAGCTGCAATGTAATGTTCCAGTAGTGCAAGGCTTTGCAAATTTGGCTCAATGAGACATGGAGCAAACAGCTTTTCAGACAGCTTCATCTCAGCTGTCAGAAGGGGCAGTTTGGTCTCCGTGCAAGCAGTACTCACATTCCAAACTGCATTAGGAAAAAGCTGCTGGGTTTTTATGCATTTTTATTATCAATTCCAGATTAGAAATCTGATACAATTTTTTTTCTTAAAGCCTGTGTTTGGAGTACAGCTTATATTCTAAAACAAAACCAGGATTGTGATGGTTTTCTCTCACTAGATTGCTCTTATTTTGCTCTGCTTTTTTCCCCTCTCCCTGGCTTTACTCCAAGGACCTTTTCTGCTTTTTGTTACACTCTCAAGATGAAGTATCGGATGGTTACAGCACTGCTGGTAGCACTGGTACAGGTTTCAGAGAATTTCCCTGCCTTGTACCACCAAGGCTGGTGGAGGCTGCTGAGGGAAAGAGATAGTTGTGGAAAATGTGATTTGGAACTCTGCTCTGAGCCCAAGGACTGTCCAGCCGGGGCTGTGCTGGATCGCTGTGGCTGCTGTCTGGAATGTGGGAATGTGGAAGGTCAGATCTGTGACTTGGACCAGGGCAATCATTTTTATGGGCAATGTGGGGATCACCTTGAGTGCAGGTTGGATGTTGATGAAGCAAGGTTTGGGGAAGTCCCTGAACCCCAGTGTGTGTGCAAATCTCAAGAAAGCATCTGTGGACCTAATGGGAAAACCTACGAAAACATCTGTCAGTTCAACAAGGATTACGCTGCGAAAAGAAACATCAGCATGAAACATAAAGGGCCATGTGAATCAGGTAATGTGTACAGAGGCACTTCCAAACTGAAAAAAGAGCTGATTCTTATCTTCGATATGTTACTAGCTACTCTAGCCTTACTTCATTAAACTAATACTGTGTTTTGGTTACAATTATCATTACTCTGTTATAATGCTACTTTGTGTTAAACATGTGTTTCAGCATCTGATACTTAATATTGTCTGTTATAAGCCTCTATATTACATTAGTGGATTAAATCTCACGGTAGCTAAAAAAGCATCAATCTACAGCCTGGGTCTGTTCTGAATAATCAGAGTATGATTGCTATAATCAGAGTATGATTTTTTTCCTACAGAAGTGGTACATGGAGTTGGGAATCGGTAAACAGGATAGTCTGAGAGGAATGGGCAAATGATTGTTATTGTAATAGGACTGACAATTTTAAAGTGGTGATAGTAAAGCAGATCTCATTATATATATATATATATATATATATATATATATATATATATATCTCCTGTGTATACATATACACACACGGGTGCACGTGTGTATGTGTGTATCCACCGGTGAGGATACATGGTAAGCAGTGAAACAGGGGCAATAGAAGAAGAAAGGATTTAATTAACAGGTCTGTTCTTTTTACCAAAAAAGTCCAACATAATCCAATTCAGAATCATCATAAAATCTAGCTAACCCATAAAAGAGAAATCCAAATAGCAGAACAGAAACAAGCTGAAACAATTTCCTTAAAGGACTCTTAAAGTGCAGAGTTTCTCTGATCATTGTTAGTGGAAGGATTCTTAGGTGGGCGTACAGGGGACTCCTGCTCGCTGCTCATATGCTGTTCCCTTTCTTTGAAGTACTATAAGTCATTACTCCTGGGCACCTATCACTTAAGACATGACTATACAATGAAAATGTGAAGAGGCTTTTGCTTGTTTCTAAATGAGAAACTGCTGTGGGTTTTTAAGTTAATCAAATACTTTCTGGAATTCAGTAAGTAGGAGAGGTCTGTGGGTCACAAATGGGTCACAGCTCTGGAAATCTGAAATTGCAGCTCTGGCAAAGGACTACATATGTGAGTAACTCAGGTATATTTTACCTGCTTTTCTCTATCAGTCTTAGAGTGTATGCTGTGGTTTTATATTGAATGAACAAGGGATATTGAAAACTTAAAAAAGTGATGAACGGTTAATATCAGGCTTCTTTCCTCTTTCTCTAGCTGCAAGAGAAGGATCCATTAGAGAATCCTTTATTTGCTATCAGGGTATGAAGCTAGGAAACGAGGCTTGTCAGGTAAGGGACATACACGCCAGCCTGCAGTACAACTGAAAGTCTATTAGCTTGGGAAGCAGTCTTTGTTTGTGACTCAGTAGCAGCTGTTCTTTTGGCATAACCCCTCTAGCAAGATTTCGGCCAGAAATGCCACTCCCTTAGCGAGTGCCGATAACTCTGCAGAGGCGGCAGCTGCTCAGGCACACAGGCTTAAAGCAGTGGTCCCTCTAATTAATTTAAAAGAACTGGACGCGTCCAAGAGACTTTTTGAATTTGGAAGTCCTACCACTTTTAATTGCTGGTGTCATCCAGCAGCCCCCAGTAGCCCCCGAGGCGCATCGCACTGCTGCTCCTCCAGAAGGATCTTGGCTGCTCTGCTCTGCATGCAGGCATCACCCCCAGCGCTTTCCCACTGCTTCCCTGGCTCCCCAGAAAAGCTGGAGCCTCTCTCCAGGAATGCAGAGAATTATCCTAACCTCTCCACTTACTGAATTGCACAGAAGCCTGCGGAAAGTTTCACAGCCGTGTCACTGCTGCGCGGTTTAGTTAAGAAGGAGGCTGTGGCTGAGGAAAGCGCCCAGCTGGAGCACGCCCGCGCTGGGCAGGGTGCTGGGCCGGCAGCGACCGGGGCCACAAGTGCCCTTCTCCTGTCGCCGAGCTGCGCTCCCCACGCGGGTTCGGAAGCTTTAGAGCCCGAGCGGAGCCCGGGGCTCGGAGGGGCTGCAGGGGGCTCGGCTCCCGGGAGCCCCCAGCCCAGCCCGGGCCGGGAGGGCACCGCTCTCCACCCCGGGCGCTCCGGGGGCAGCTGGTGACAAAAGGCAGCAGGAACCCGGCTCTGAGAGCAGCAAGGGCTGCAGCACGGGCGGTTCTGACGGCAATTTGCATGTGAAACAAACACTGAGCGCTTGGTTTTGGTACCAAGCTATAACTTTCACTCAGCTCAAAGTATTTGTTTTGTTTTTTCTCCTTCAAAGCATCTGCTGTTTCCTCTTGATGCCAAATGGACTAATTGTATACAGCAACCAATGAATAAATAAATAACAATAAACTCCTTTCATCAGAGGAGTACAGCCTTTCATCTTTCTTCTCCTGCCAGAAAAAGAAGAAAAAGGTTTCGTTAAAGAAACATGAAAAAATTATTTATTTTCCTGAAAACTAGTTTTCATCAGTTTATCTAATAATTTACCAAGGTTACTGAGTACATTGATTATATACAGATTCTCCACACTTAAACCATCCCCATTCACTTTGAAACATTGATAATTTAATGAACTAACAGAACAATATAGCAGTGATTCTCTTTATATTTAGCTGTGTCACATGATTTATTTTAAATGTAAATTTTGGTGTAAGAACAAATAAACAAGCCACAAAAATTTCTGCCATTTCCATCTTATAAGACATAGATCAGCAAAAATTAATAATATACAATATGAGAAAAACTATCCTAATCATTATGTGATTAATTCATCTGCAGTGATGTTAGGTTGATTGTGAAAGGTAAAACAGTATTTTGATTTTTCCTGGCTTCTGGTTTACATCTTCTATAACACAGAGGGATAATTCATGACTGACTGGGACTGAAAAAGGAAAGAAGCAGTTCCTGCCCATTCATCTCTGGGCACCAGGACACCAGGACAATTTCCTTAGCTATCAACAAAAATTTATCTACTCCAGGAATCAAAATGACTCATTATCATAACAGTACAACTCTGTTTCTAATCAGCTATGCAAAAAAAATACACACATATCATGGGGGAATTTTTCTAAATACAAAACCTGAAACACTCAAAAATAAATTCTATAAACTTCTGTTTAAATTGTAGAATGTTACTTTAATTTTCTTCCACAAAACACAGCAAAATGATATTGTGAGGTTGTGGAATTTTATTTCTGAAGTTTGAATGGACAATGAAAGTACCGTTAACAGTCAGAAAGGCAGTTTGGTTAGATCAAAACTGCTGCTTGCTGTGAGTTTGGTTTCAGGTGATGCCAGTCCTGGTCAGCCCTGGACTCAGCTGCAGGACTGGGACCAAGCCCAGACATTTCCCAGCTTCTGCTGTATTCTCCTCACAGTTAATGGAAAGAGGGGTATTCCTAGTGTGGAATTATTCTAGTGCATGCTAGGCAGTGCTGGACAGATGTAATGTGGATTTGTAATTCAGACCTTTGTGTACTCCAGATGTGTTCCCATGGGTGGCTGAGCCATGGCTAAGGACAGTGACACAGGCAGGACCCAGTCCTTGGCCACACCTCAGTGCTGGCAGGGGATCCACAGGGCACCTGAGTTAGCAGCACAATAAAAATACTCACCAGGCAACATCTGCCTGTTTGAAAAGTTTTTTACACGATCTCTTCATGGGAACAATTTTAACAACTCCTGTGAGTCAATGTAGACTTGTGGTTTCTTTTGTACATTTTAGGCTTAACTAGAGTGGATGTATCATTAAAAGGAGTGGAGTTTCAAATAATTTCAAGATTTAAAAGTATATTTTAATATCAGACCCTCTGTGATCAGTTCATAGGCAAAAAGAAAAAAAAATCTCATCCAAGATATTCAGTTAATGCTGATTTGAGTAAAGACTTTTGAAATAATAAATTCTGAATATACAATTCTCATGAAAAAACAAGTATTTAAGGATTTAAGTTTCCTAGTCGGAAAAATCTCATGTTTATAGAGTAGCAAGATTGTTTAATGAGGCATTTATAAATGGGGAAAATGATAGTTTTTTGTATAATTTGTTTGCAATTAATTTTAATCAGGATGCATTTTATATTTTCTGCACACGCACTAATCCTAAAAAACTGACAAATGTGTTATAAACTGTTGCTTGAAAACATGGAACAGGGTGTTAGTTTCAAATGCCAAAGAATAAGTGCTGCACCTACGTATTGAATCAAATATTGCAAGCAAAAATATATTAACTATTTACTTGAAGTTTCTATTTCCAAGCATGTGGGATGTGTGGAAAAAAAATCAATACAAGCCAAATCACCCAAAAAATGAATTCCTTTTTGAGCACTGGTCTAGAAATAGAAAACAAGTTTTTGAAGGCAAAACATACTTTGTCGTCGACAAATAGATCAGGAGGGGAAAAAAGCAGAGATCTCCAACACAGGAAATCTGAGCTAACAGTAAACCCACTGTTTTGTCTCTGGCCCCAGACATCCTCATCCCCGCTAAACGGGAGATGAGCAGAGGCTCACACGGTCACTGAGGGAGACGTGCCCGAGATCAGGTTGGAGACACCGGCGATGGGCTGTGTTCCGGTGCCTCCAAGACCCGGCCTGGCTCCCTCTCGTGGCTGCCGGCAGCTTTTGCTTCGGGAAAAGGGAAAAAGCAGAATTCCGAGGCAATCAATAAACGCTGGAGGGGGTGACAGTGCGAGAACATGAGGAAACAAATGGAAATGTAAGAGGTATAATAAGCACTACATGAAACCTTACAGAAATAATTGAATTTCAATCCTTTTTCATTCCTAACACCAATATTGGATGACATCAATAGCAATTGAGGATAAATGTAAAATTCATTAATGCTGTTGTAACTTGTGACTTCCATGGGTAATAGTGCTTGACAATGTTTAGCAGCTTCAAGGCAATGATGTACTCAGAAAACGCCAGCAATAGCGGTGTTTTGGCTTTCAGCTAACCAAAATGTGACACCTTTGGAGCTGTCACACAATCAATCGCTCTGTGACTCATGTGCTGCACAATTTCTGTGGTTTCCTCTGAAGCCCAGGTCGGGTACTGGCAGCTCTGCTGGGGGGGCCCGAGCCTGGTCCACAATGACAGCTCATGGGGCAAAATTAAGCCCTCAATTTCAGCTTGGGTTCCATGATCATCTACAAGGGGGAAACTAGACCTGAATAAGCATTTTTAGAAAGCACAGACACAGGGTTTTCTGAGCTTTAAAAGGCACTTAGAATCAAGTGGCTCTTCACAGTGTGTGAGACCCAAAAGATAAACACACTCTGTCCCTTGAAGCAGGGACAAATGTTAACAAACTTTTTGTGTACTATTTCCTAAAGCACCCTGTCGGCTCTTTGCAGCTCCTGTTATTTCTATGCCACCTCAGGATGCCCAGAATTACACTGGCAATGATGTCATTTTTGGCTGCGAGGTGTCGGCCTATCCTATGCCACAACTTGAATGGAAAAAAAAGGGGAACAAAATGTTTCTGCCAGGAGATGACACCCATGTCTCCGTTCAGGTAAAACTTGAATTTACCTTTGCATACAGTTTGGGAACAGAAGCAGTGTCATTAATGTGCAAATTCCTCCTACAGAACACAACACCGTTGCAATAGATTCCCAGTAGGGGCCCTGTGACTATGCAAAGAATGATGATTTCTGTCAGTGCTTCAGCAGTCCCCGCAGAAGGAACAACAGCCAGGGTACCACTTATGCCTCTTTAGGAGTCTTTACTCCAAGCCAGATGAAACTGTGATGAAGTGTGAAAGTGCCCATGGAATGTCGTGCCAACCCATAAAACTTGGCTGCTGAGTGTCAGCTTGGTCAGACCCAAATCCAAGGACCTCACGAGACAGGAAACCTGGACCAGACAAATGCAGATCAGGCCAGTATGGTCAATCAAACATTCTCCATTTATTAGTTAGAAGATGACAGTTTATATACACTTCAATATAGTTTACAGTTTACAGAGGCACTCTCATTGGCAAGCTAACATTGTTTGTCTTTGTCTTAAGGTGGACTAAACTCTACACTATAAACCTATACTAATTCACACCCAGAAAACCCAGTGCTTCACATCACACCTTAATATAATTTCTAACTGCGCCACAAGCTCTTTTTCTTACTGCGTCACAGGTGGAAGGCCTCACAAGGCCCATATCTGAGGCCTAGGCTGGAGTAGCTCAAATCTCATTCCAGACATAAATCATGCCCTCTCTCTCTCAGAAATTCTGCAACACAAGCCCCCTTGGCCCTAACAACTCCCCCAGACTCACTCCCCATCTCATCCTGAGCTTGAGCATAGGTGGAATGCTTTGAAGAAGCAGCAAGTGGTTCTGGGACAAGGGGTAGAAGGAGCACGGGGAAGAGTGGAGTGAAGAGGAACAGGAATGTGAGCACTGTGCAGGGTAGTGAAGGTGAAAGAGCAGAGATGGGAAGGCATGAACTCAGAGATACAGAGCAGCAAGAAGGTAAAACACAATGCAGCAAGAATAAGCAGAATCAAAACATGAAGGCATTAAAAAAAGAGAGGAAGATTTGTAATGATATTTAATCAATCCACAATTATTTTGAGAAATATCATGGTGTCTCCTAGCTGCTTCATTTCAACCATTTATTTTCTTTTCAAAGGCAAGAGGTGGGCCTCAGAAGTATGGTGTGACTGGCTGGCTGCAGATTCAAGGCCTCAAAAAATCAGATGAAGGCATTTATATCTGCCATACCAAAAATAAGCATGGTGCAACGTATGCCTCTGCAAGATTGAAAGTCATTGATGGTAATTTTTTTGTATTTGGATGTAAAAAATATAAAAATGTATACAAGCAGGATGAAAGAATGGGGTTGTTGGAATGAAAATGAAGCATAGGAGAAATTACCCAGAACTGCCCATATTTTCACTCTTCTGTGTGCTTTTATTTTACTTTATCCCCTAATGGTTTATATAGTAATATTATATTTAATAATATTTAATATTTATATAGTAATATACCAGCTTCAAGAATATAGAAAGCTGTGGATTGGAGCCATACAGCTGAGACACATTATTCCACTTCCTTATCCCAGAGAAGTCCTTTAATGTTAGCAGGACCTAGAACAACAGCTGGGGTAACTGAGGGAGTCTTTGAATCATGGCAAGTTTGCTTAGCTGTTTGTTTTTCATAAAATTAGGAAGCAAACATTTGTTGTTCCTTAATGAGAGTGTTTCAAAAGATCTAAGAAATAGCTTTGCTATTGATCCGCTTTGGGCCCAGCCCTGCAGAACAATAACCTTCTTCCTCCATGAAGAACTCTTTTTCCTGGCAAATTCAGGATAAAGATGTATTGTCATATTTACCTCCTGGTCTAGGGGAGTTTGTCACTCATCCAGTCTCTATAAATCACTTTCAAAGCTTTTTTTTTTCCTCTGGGAATATTTGCAGATGCACAGGAGTTGCAGGAGACTGATACAACAGTTTATTAGTATTAGGAATTAAATGCATTTTCAACATGTCCTCAGCACAGGAAAGACATGGATCTGTTCGAGTGGGTTCAGAGGAGGCCATGGGGATGCTCCAGGTACTGGAGCACCTCTGCTCTAGAGACAGGCTGAGCAAGCTGCTGGTGTTAAGCTTGGGGAAGAGAAGGCTCTGGGGAGAGCCCAGCACCTTTCTAATCCCTAAAAGGGGAGTACTAGACAGAGGGAGAGGGACTTATAAAGGTAGATAGAGGTTGGACAAGGGAGAATAGTTTTAAACTAAAATAGGAGAGATTTAGATTAGATGTTAGGAAGAAATTCTTTACTCAGAGTGTGGTGAAGTACTGACACAGGTTTTTCAAAGAAGCTGTGGCTACCCCATCCTTGAAGTGTCCAAGGCCAAGTTTGATGGGACTTGGAGCAACCTGGGATAGAGGAAGTGTCTTTGCCCATGGCAGGGAGTGGAACAAGATGAGTCTAAGATCCATTTCAAACCAATCAGTTCTGGGATTCCATGATTCTATATAGAAACTTGCTCTTGACCTTCAGTGGTATGAGGTCAAGCTATTGGCTAAAACCCCTGTCCTTTTCATGGATAACAAGGATTCAGAAAATCGGAGTTTGTGTACAAATCCAAACCCATGCCTTCCTCTGTGTTCCTATCTTCAGCTAATTTAATCTGTATTCACTTATATCTTGCAGTCCCGTCTCCTGCATTTGCATTTACTGCTGGTAGTAAAAGCGCAAGCTACAGCATTGAATACGAGGAGTATTATGACAATTCTGATGAAGAAGATGATGAAGAATATGAATCCGGGAACTATGATAATGAAAACAATTCTGAATAATAATTTTTATACATCTCTTGTCCAAATATTTTAAACACTGTTATATTTACCAATAGTCTCTGCTCCCTAAATGGCTCCTCTGATAACACACATACTCACTTGTGTATCCACCTTCCTGAAATGCAGCTTTGGATGAAGTGTATCATGCTACTCACTAGAAATAAGAACAGTTGTAACATCATATATTAAGACTATGAAAAAAAAAAGCTTCAGCCTGGACCTTTCTACTAATTATGCCAAAGGGATGCAATTTTATATTAATTTTTACATTATCTTGTAATTTCTTTCACACATTCTAATTTGTCGAGCAAAAATGCCAATAGTTAAACAATTTTTTTTAAATTAATTTTATTCTTATCCGTAAAGTACTAAGAAATATCAAGAGATTGTTCACATGGCAATAAGCCTAAGTAAGTATGGAGGTTGCAAAACAGTCTTTAAACTCCTTAGTTCATGTTTTCTCATAAGTTTCAGCAGGATCTTCCTTCTCATTTGAAATTTTCCATGTCTCATCAAAGGCGAATTATCAGTCTTGTGGGGGATGATTTTGTTTGCGGTAGTGGGATTTCGAAGTTTATGTTTAAGAAATTGTTTAAAATAGTTGTAATGGTTTGTTCCTATTCACCCCTGTTCAGTTTTCCTAATAGTCTCTCCCCAAAGTTGTTTTTCACCTGTTTTCCTGCTTTTCCCTATGTCAGTCCTAGTGTATACCTCCCTTATTTCCAGATCCTTCCCTGTCCATCCTCCAAATCCTGTCCCTGCAGTTTGTCTGTCATTATTTGCTACACCCATTCATCTAGAAGCTTCGTTGTCAGTTATGATATTTTCTTTCACTCATTGGCATATTAAGTATGCACTCTGCCCTTCCCCTTCCCTACTGGTTTTATGTTTACATATATCCACCCCATACTCCTCCTATCTAGCCCTTGATTTGTTGTTAGGCTGTCTCCCCCCTGAGGACAGCCTCCCTTTAAAAGTCGCCCTTTTTCTCAACTTCGCGTCCTTTGCCTCTGCCCTCCCTTCGAGTTGTTGAGCTGTGTCACCTGTGCTGCTCCCTGCGCGGGGAGAAATAAAGACTGCTCGGAGACGCACGCAAGGGTCCTTCCCTTTTCCTTCGGCTCGATCCGTCGACATGGGTCCGCCCCAATGTGGTGAGGGCCGAGAGCCGGCGGCCGAGCCCTGCCCCGCGCCCACCGGGCCGAGCCCCGTGGGGCCGAGCCCCGTGGGGCCGAGCCCGGTGGGGCCAAGCCCCGTGAGCCCCGTGGGGCGAGCCCCGTGGGGCGAGCCCCGTGGGGCCGAGCCCCGTGGGGCCAAGCCCCGTGAGCCCCGTGGGGCGAGCCCCGTGGGGCGAGCCCGGTGGGGCCAAGCCCCGTGAGCCCCGTGGGGCCGAGCCCCGTGAGCCCCGTGGGGCGAGCCCCGTGGGGCCGAGCCCCGTGAGCCCCGTGGGGCGAGCCCCGTGGGGCCGAGCCCCGTGGGGCCCGTGGGCCGAGCCCCGTGACGTGGGGCCGAGCCCCGTGGGGCAGCGGGGCCGCGGCTCGCCCCCGGGCTCTTGCCACCGGCGCGCGGCGTCATTTCTGTACTGTTAATCAGTACGTGAAGCAATCATGTCTAAAGCCAGCAAGTACTGCTTCACAGTCACTACTGAAACACAGCCAGAAAAGATTCCTTGTGCACAGAAACCTCTGAGCACTTGCAAGAGCTCCTGCATTGCTCCCCAGAGCAATGGCTCCTTCCCAGCAGCCTCGGAGAACTTCAGGGTCTGGGACGTTCCCCCTGGACAGGATGCTGATGGGTGGCATTCCTGCAGTTTAAAGGCAGCAGCTGCTTTGTAACTCAATGCATGCCCTTCAAACACACTGGGATTGCACTCCGGAGCTAGGATCTGTCCTTTGGAGCTGTGAACAAGTTGCCTCATCCCTGAGCCATCAGCATTGCCAGGCTGCTTAAAGGGCAGCAAACCACCAGAACACATGAACATTGTTCCAACTGATCCATGAACCAGACAGCAAAGGAGTTGGAGTCAAAAGCACAGCACTTCCAAGGGCTGAGTGAGCACCCTGAGAAATTTCTCCAGTTGCTTGTTAGCTAATTATATGAAGGCTGGCTCTGAGTTAATGGGTAATGGAAAACACCAACCCTGCTCTTACAGCTCTGGTTCCCACTGGCTGAGGGCAGATGAACAGCAGTAAATTACTGAACACATTCAGGACTAAGGCAGCAGAAGCTCAGGCATCTGCACGGAAAGTCTTGGTATGAGCCAGCTCCCTGGACCGAGGCACAGTGAACCCTGCCCACACAGTGCTGACCACTGACTTTTACCCCTCTCTCAGCCCCCTAAATTATCAGGGGCTAGCCCAGGGATCTGAGGCCTTGAGAGGAGGAACATCAGGAGATGGGCAAAGATTCCAAGATTCCAAAAGAGGCTCTCACCCCGATGTAGTTGTCCAGCTCTTTTTATTCTGTGATGCCCAGAGGAAAGAGCAGGGGAAAAGAGGGCGAACAGGAAGGGTCAGGGGTTTATCTGGGCTCTGGACAGGGAGGGCTCTCTTGGCTCTTGCCAGCCCTGTTGGGGCTGGAAGGAGGAGACCAGGCTGATCTGATCAGAGTCACAGGGGTCCTGGGAGTGGGGGAAAGGCATAGCCCGAGCGCACAGTAACAGAGCACCAGCTGGATTCATGGGGACAGGGAGCCTTTAAGGGCACTGTACACACATACTGTGTAGGATTTTTAATGCATATACACTGCCTCACAAATTCTTCTTTTAATGTGCTATTTGTGCCTCTTTTGCTATCAGAAAGATTTTTCTTTTCAATTTGAAATTCTTTAAGAAATTGACTATAGACAGTGTTTGCCCTGAGGTATTATTGACTTCTGTCCAGCAAACAACCAAAGAATAATTTATCTCAGGCTTCATGGGGCATTGTCAGCTTATGAGAAGAAAGTGTGTCATTGTGTTATTGAAAAAGATTAATTAGTTTTAATTAGGAATAGAATGTGGCTTCATATTTACCTACTGATTTTGTTTTTATGGACTCTTCCTGGTCTTCTTAGTAATATGTTAATAACTTTTTTTGCTTATCTGCTACATATTAACTTAAAATTATCTGATAGAAATTATTGATTAATTTTTATCGAACTATTTAATATGCAGACATATCCTCAAGATCATTTGTGATCTGCATTGCAAATTAATTAATTAGATTACTAAAATAATCACTAGACGGTGGCAATATAGATTGGTATAATATAGTATACGGCACAGAAAATAATCTTGAAATCATTAGCCATAGAAAAAAATTAGAATTCTTTAGGGCCTTTTGCTGTTGTTAATGGAAAATGAAAAACAGAAAGAAAAGAATGTTTGAATTAGAAAATGTGCAGCAGAACTCTAGCACATATTAATTAGCAAGTGCTTGTCCTGATGGAGTATCTATTTAAGAAAAGCTAACAGTCTCAGAACAAAGAATTCTAAATTAAATATGTTGCATTTCTCTCTCTGTGCATTTTTAATATATATTTAATAAGTGATTGTAAATTAGCAGCCATTCCTTTCAGTAAGAAAATTGCATTTTAAGAAAAATATCAGTGCGATGCAAAAAACCAAAAGGAACACTGATAACCTTGAACAATTCTTAGTTTCTTTTTTTGTAGGAGGGGACACAAATGGCTGGTTTTGTGTATATACTTTAATAAAGTAATTTATTGTTAAATTTAAAAAAGCATGGAGAAGGTTCAGTCCTCTCTAAGCAGTAGACTGGAATGGATCTCATTGTGAATGCATTGCCTGTAGCACGTAACCCAAAGGAACAAGCAAGTTTAAGAAGTGAGGTTTACTCCACCCAGCAGGAAATGAGCCAGGCTTGAGCTGAAAATGCTGTATTAAGCCTGGCACTGTATTTTCCAAAGCAGACCTAAAGCCTTCTTTAATTGAGCTTCCACAAAAGACTGTTAGACTTTGTGACATGCAAGTCTGAACTTCATGGCACAGCTTCCTCCTGTCACACAAGCACCTTCACTGTATCATTTCCCTCCCCCTTGTGAAGGGAAATGAATTGTACAGAAGTTACTAAAGAAATTCCACTGCTTGATGCAGAAGGTCCTTTGGGCAGGACCCTGACATAGGATGGGGTATTTTCACAATCTAATATTATTACTTGCTGTGTTCAAGTTATGTCAGCTATTAGTCTAGGAATCCATTATTCTTTAGCTGGACCAATTTTTCCCCTTAAAATAATCAGGATATAGCTGACAGAAATTGGCTATAGAAAGGCAATTTTCTGTGTATCCAGAGATTCGAATTATTCAAGTGATGGTTAAAGCAGGTGCCAGGGCTGCCCTGTGCAGCTGAACACAGTGTGGGCTCCCTGCCTGCCCTGTGGAACAGCTTTGTGCTCTCACTTATGTCCTTGCCCAGCCATCACCTTGGGCAGAAAACCCAGGCCAGGGGGACAGACGTTTCTGGCTAGGAACAAACACACTCCAGACAAGCTGGAAATTGGCTCATCCTGCAGGAAGCCCAGTGTTGCTGTAGCTCTCTCCACAGAGAGCAATAGGCACAACTTTCCCAGGCATTGTCTGGGGAAAGGCTGTTGTCCTGGTTTAGGGCAAATTTGGGAGAAAAAACACTGGAAGAAGCCCCCAGAAAACAAACCCCCACGGCCCCTCCCCACCCACCTGGTTCAGGAAGAATTTTCTCAGAGAGAAGTGGAAAAGAACCTGTTTATTTAACAAACAAAACACTCCCCAGCACCAGAAAATGAACAACACCAGATGACAAAAAAACTCTTTCACCACTCTGAAGAGATGACAAATCCAGAAAGTCTCTCCTGGGAATGATCGCCGGGGTCTGGGCGCTGGGGATTGCTCTGGGCACTGGGGATGGCTGCTGCAGATCACAGAGCGCAGGCTCTGAGTTCCTCGGTGTTTCCCAGGTCCCAGTCCGGAGCAGGTTGGAATGATATTCAGGAAAGGGAAAGGGAAAAAAAAACAGTCCAGGGAAAAAATTGGACTGCTTAGCTAAACTAACAAGCAAAAGGAAAGGCAAAAGCAGAAGCAGGAGCAACAGGAGCAAGAGCAAGCAAGCATAAGCAAGCAAGCAAAAGCCAGCCAGCAAAGCAAAGCAAGCCAGCCAGCACTAGCCTCCTCTAGACAACAGACCATGGGGGGAGGTGAGCCGGCTGATAACAAGACAAAACAAACCTTCAATTTCAGAGTCAGTTCTGAAAGCACAGAAAATAATATCAAACATAAACAGAACACACGACTGGGGATACAAACGCCATAACGTCACCCTAGGACATTCCACCCCTTATCGCCATATCGTCAACATCATGTAAAAACCTCATCAAGTAAAAACTTCCATCTTTCACTTACTCATACACATTTCCTTCCATCTCACTTACTCAAACCTTCGACACACATTTCCTTCTATTTCACTTACTCAAACTTTGACACACATTTCCTTCTGCCTCATGTCTGTGTGTTTTCATGTACAAACACTGGCAGTAACATCCAGCAGTGAGTCTCGCCCCACAATCAGATCCCCCTGAGGTACACATCGTGTTGTTCCATCTCTTTGCATTATCCACCATGTACAACCTGGTCCCTGAGCAAAGACAATCCCACAAATGGGTTTGTCTGTACTCGAGGCAGAATTGATCCACACTGATTTCCCTAACAAACCTCTGACATGTGCCACTGGGACTTTATCTCCATTTATCTCCAGACTGGGCAGGACCTGCTCGATTGGTGGAACCTCGGCTGTTAACTAACCAGGTGGCCTTTGTTAAATGGTGCTCCCAATTTTTGAAAGATCCCCCACCCAATGCTTTTAAGATGGTTTTTAACAGTCCATTGTACCTCTCCACTTTGCCTGCAGCTGGTGCATCGTTTGGGATGTGGTACACCCACTCAATGCCATGTTCCCTAGCCCAGGTGTTGATAAGGCTGTTCTTGAAATGAGTCCCATGGTCTGACTCAATCCTCTCAGAGGTACTATGCCTCCAAAGGACCTGCTTTTCAAGGCCCAGGATGGTGTTACGGGCTGTAGCATGAGACACAGGGTAGGTTTCCAACCATACAGTGGTGGCTT